GCCTGTAGCAGTAGGGGGTAAGGACCTCGCTCAGGGGGCCTGTAGCAGTAGGGGGTAAGGACCTCGCTCAGGGACCCTGTAGTGAAATCATCCTGCCAAACTTGGAATTTGAACCGATGACCCTCCAATCACAGGCAACCCCCCCCCCCCAAACATACTTGTTAGAATAGGAACCTAAATCAGATGCAACGGATGCTCTGCAGAAGGACTCACAGGTCAGTCAGAGTTCACGCTCTTGCTTGTACACACAGTTTAAAAATTGTTTTTGGAGATGAGAATGAGAAAACATTACTGGAGGAAAATCGCACCCCTTGGTGCCCATTCTTTGCCTTATACATCATGTAGGTTAAATGCATCTTTTGATAAAAAAAAAAAAAAAAAACATAGAATTTTTTTAAATGTTGAGTTTTTCTTCTTTCACCAATACGGAATTCATATGCATCAGGTCTAACAAAGACAACAGGACACTGACAGTCGGACGGCTACAGAGCGTCACGCACAAATGGGCTATTTTAAGGTCCTGAACAAATATTTTTTATCAAATATATTTTAACAAAGCAGAAGAGCATTTTCCAGCTTTGATCCTCAATGAACTAATTAATCCATTTATAATTTATTAGGCAACTTTTGTTAAAGTTTCAGTAATGGTAAAATAACAAAAATGCATTTTATTTGCATAAAAACATGAGGATCAGGAATAATAACAAGGCTAAGGTAGGCTCATTATTTTATATTCATTGCCCACAATGGTGTATAACAACATTACTCACCAACTTCGTTATTTACAAGATAATGGGTTCAGACAGAAGAGTGACCAATCCTTTTCTTAAAAGGTTAATAGGTAGACACATTTATTGGGGACCACTTTGGTCAACAGCTCCACCTACTGCCAAGATTTCATAGAGCAATAAAATGTATTCCGCTGACTTTTCCTGTTTACCAACTGGCAAGGTTAATTTAAGCAACAGCGGGAGTTGTAGTAATGTATTTCTTAAAAATTGAAGAAAAGCAGGATTAAAACTCACAAAATATACAATTTTACTGAATTGATTTCAGTAATACTGGATCATTTTTTTACCCCAGAGGATTGTGTGGATAGGCACTAGATTAGATAAGGCCTCTCTGTAGAAAAAAATAGTGCATAATTTTAGCACAGAGAAGCCATCATTTTAAAGCATTTTAAGCTAAATTACCATTAGCTATTACTAAACTGACCTCTTAAGCAACTCATACACATCATATTTGTATTGCTTCAGGTTGTTTTCTGCAGGACAGCATCTATCAGTATTTTGACATTTTCTGTGCTGCAAAAGCCATCCAATGTCCACCAAATGTAAAACAGCACTGAAAGTGACCAGACAAAACACTTATTTCCCCATAACAGCTTTTCATTTCGCTATCATAGCACCATATTACTTAGAAAGACCTTAATAATTGAAAGTTCACTGGTCCCCATAACATATTATAGCATTTTTCAGAATACCTACAAAAATATTTAAGCAACATTGATCATTCTTACAACTCAAAGAACGAAGCAACAATGGGCTAACGTTTTTCTTTTTTTTTTTTTAATAGTTTGACATTTGCCAATTTCATTAGTTACAATTGTGGTAACACACACAGAAAAAAAGAACTGAGGTAATAAAGCATTTGTACAACAATCAAGGCTGTAACCAAAAGCCTTTGATTTTTATGTACAGTATGTACAGGTCTGTAGCCTTCTTCAGTACCTGGAGCCCTAACACGGGTCCATATCTCTGCACAGGCAGTCTATGGGTTGTCAGGCTCCGCCCCCACGTTCACTGAGCTTTCTGATGCAGCGGCATCTTCCTTCGGTCCTTCATGGCGTTCCTCTTCCTCTTCTTGCTCAGGAAGTTCTCCAGCTTCCCACTCCTCTTCAGGTCGCTATACTTCTCAGCCAGCTCCAGTTTGCGCTTGTCAGCTGAGAGGAAAAGCGGGGAAAAGCAGGATGTGGAGTTAATGGCGTTCAGTTCCACCCAGAACATGCCTCCGTTTTTCACCAAATGCTGACAGTGAGCTAAGACCCACAATTCTATTAATTTTAACTAGAACCGGGAGACTGGAAGTCATGCTCAAAATACACACTCAATCACAGTGCTAGTACTAAAGACAAAGCAGAGTCTGGTTAATACGGTATTCTATCAGTAACTATGGAAACACAGATATGGGTAACACCTGGCTGATTAGGTTACATAATATTCAAATGACTGACTGCCAGGTAAACGTTCACTAAGGGTGCTTTTCCATCACACCAGGTAGCATACTTTTGGTACATTCCCTAATCCATTGACACTCAGTCGAGTACCAGTACCAAAAGTTCCAGTACCTAAAGTACCAAACCAGCTGGGGTACTTTTTTGATACTTTGGGGTGACTTGCAAATGCTTTCTCTGTTGATTGGTTATATAAATAGCCTGCCTCTGAAACACAATACAACAAACGTCTTGAAAAAAGTCAGAACTCAGAAATTAACGATAAAGTAAAAAAAATAAATAAAATAATAATAATAAAAAAAAGTAATAATAATGGATGTATAGACAGAGAGATCCAAGCTTTAATTCCAATCTGGTCAGAAAAACAGATACAATAACATCAGGACGGCATTACTAGAAATAAATAAAAAAGTATTTTGCATAATATACTAGAGCAGTACGGTAAATTTTTCAAATATCGCAATGTGATTTTGTTGTAATACATAATGGGGTTCAACTAATTTCTTACAAACCCATTGAGTGCTTTAAATCACCAAGGATGAAATAATTATCATTATCTCAGAGCACATGAATCATTGATGCAAAAGCAGCAGAGGTAAACTTTAAACTAGAGCTGGGCGATGTGGCCTAAAAATAAAATCTCCGATTTTTTTCACAATAAATCCGATTTTCGATTTTAATCGATTTTCCCCTCCCCTACTCAAAATCAAACTACAAATGACAAATAAATGGTTCAAAACAAGTTTTAACTTTTACTTTTTTTTTTTTTTTACTACAGAGTTAAAGTGCAATCTGACAAGGCAAAAAAGATGCTTGTAAGTGAGATGGCAGACCACGCCATTGTAAACACTTTTTTAGAAACTTGTAAAAACTTTTAGCATGTTAATGAATCCCGGCTTTTCCACAGTATGTATGGGCACCATGTGTTTTGCAACATACATGAGAAATGCAGGGTACCAGTATCAGTTGAACCAAGACAACCCACAGAGCCACCCTCCGGGAAGTCCAGTCATTACTCTAAAGCAGGGTTCACCAATTCCAGTCCTCAGGGGTTAAAGTAAAAAAAAAAAAAATCCTGAGCCTGAACTTTTTTTTGGGGGGAATTTTTTATTTGAAGGACTTACTTCAAATATTGACAATAATAACAAAAATAAAGTAAAAAAAAAACTGCTAAACAATAGCAAGTGCTTAAACTGCTTAAATAACAAGTGCTCAAAGTGCTAAAGAACTGAACTGCTAAACTGAAGATTAGAAGTGAAATCAAGGCCATTATCACTTATTCACTTATTCAATTATTATCACTTATTCAATGCTTCAACATTGAGTGAGAACATGCATTTTTTTAGCTTCTCAGACAAACATTTTTTGAACTGTAATGCATTTCCATGAGTGTTCATGTAACTCGCATGTTGATTTGAAACCGACAGGCTAGTTAACGCTTTTTTGTCTTCTGCCAGTTTTTTACACAGGGTGACCAGTGGATGCGAAATTCTGAATGACAAATCATGTTCTGCTATAAATGTGCACAAACGTATTTTTAAATCGCAGACACGGTCAGTCATAGACAACGGTGTGTCAGCTGTAACAGTTGCTCCCGGCAACGTCGTGGTAAGTTTGAGTGCACGGGCAGCGGCTCTATGACCGGAGTCTAAATCATGACAAGCAAGCACTTTCTTACCGCTGCTGGCATACAGTAGCTTCCTCGAGCAAATCGTGCAGAAACAAGCCCCCGGCTCTCTCAGTTTCTTGCACCAACTGCCGAAAGGTTCACCATCTCTACTTTCTTCAATGCACGCCCAGCGCCATTTATTTTTGAGTCCTTTATAAATTGCTAGGACATCATCCCCAGGCTTCATAAACTTGCGCTCCATTTTTTTTTCTCCGACAACGCTAACGTGACATTGACGTATGGGTGTCAATCATACCGTGTTGCAAGGACCCGCCCTTCTCTACTTCTGATAGGCTTGTAACGTTAGTTAAAGCTGCGTTCCTCTCATATGATTGGTAGGTGAAATAAACTGGCTCGAAAATATTAAACCGCATGCGCAGGCTATAAAATATTATAATTTTTTTCCCTCACAGCCGCACGCCGGAGATCCGGCACAGTGCCGGAATACTTTAAGCCCTGAGTCCTGGAGGGCCAGTCTGCACCACGGTTTGCAGATTTCCCTGCTCAAACATACCGACCACATCTGGTAATTAGCAGGTGTGCTAAATAAGGTGTGTTTGCTGGATGTGAGGAGCACAGCTACGCAGACACACCTCCGGAGATAGCCCACAGTAGGCTGATGTTTTTCAGCTACCGCAAATTGATTGCGCTGACACTTACATTTCTTGAGGAAGAAGGGCCGGTGGCCCTGCTTCACCAGCTCCCGTTGCCTCCTCTTGTGCTCCAGCTCTTTCTCCCGCTGTAGTTCCCTCTGCTTCTGGGCTCTCTCCTGGTCCACCTGGAGGTACATTTTTTTAGATTCCCAGTTCTCATAGTTCCTTGGCTCTGTGGTCATGAAAACCTTCAAGTGTGGTTCTGAAATGCAAGGAGATGCAGAAGTAGCTCACCATTCTCTTCAACAAGTGATCAAGCTGTTCCTTTTTCTTCATGGACTTGACTTTCTTAATCTTCTTCTGAACTAACTGAAAGAGGCAAGAGACATTTCTCAGGGGAGTCATAATTGAATTCATCAAGGGGTAAAAAATCAGAAGCATCAGATATGCGTGTTTTACACAGGCACTAGCACCTCCTTCTCCTTCTGCTTGATGGTTTTAATAAAGCTGTAAGTCTTCTCGAAAATCTCCGGCTTGTACTCTCCGGAAAGGTCATCGAACCGAGGATCTCTCGGCATCTGGAACAAAACGTAGAACCTACTCAAACACCAACCCACAATAAATTAATAAACATATATTTCAAACTATATAACAAACATCAATGTGAAACACTTCTTATTCAGATGGCAGACAGACAGTACATGGGGTTTGGGGATTATAAAGAGATGGTTTGATTAGTACCCTTGGGATACTGTGAGCAGGTGAACCAGACAACATTAAGAATTACAGCTCTGCTCTCTAATTCAAACTTGGCAAACAGCAAACACACAAAAGTCACATTGTTGCTGCTGGTTAGTCTTTCCTAACACACATACAGCGAACTCGCATTACAATCTTAATTGCATACAGGTAAATAGAGGAACCTGGATACATCCACACCCCTCCTTGTGTTTTACAATGATAATGTTCAATTTCGTTGATAGATGACGGTTTTCCCCATGATGGATTCTTTCATTAACCTACTATCCTCTGTTTTTAACTCACCTTTTTCTTAACAGGCACCACATGTCTCAGAAAAGGAACAGACTGCTTGGCTGAGACTTCCATGGGTCTTAAATCAGAGAAGGGGAAATTATTTCAGCAACGCAATATGAACACAAAGAATCCTTTTTAGATACATAGCTCATTCACACAATGTATATCATATGTGAGTCTGACACATCTTTGATCTTTTTCCATTACCGCTATCCCATAATTTTAGAGGTGAAATTGTGGTTTTCAAGGTATATACACTAAGTGTAAAAGAAACGGTGACAATTAAGATGAGGTCATTCTCACAAGTCTGCTTAGCATGGTGTACTGAGCAGCTTCTGCAAACAAATACTGAAAATAGCATCACCCAGTGGATAAATGGATATGCTGTGCAAGACAGTGCTTTGCTGCTCCGTAATTCCCCACAACACTGCATGAGATGGGACATACCTGTTCTTATTGAGCCGCTTTTTCCCCTTCTCTGCACCCTGCTTCTTTTTAGTCCCATAAGCCACTTCATTGAAAACCTTTGTACCCACTTTATTCTGCAGCTTCATGATCTCCTCAAAAGACATCGCCGACAATTCTATGATTGGAAAGAACCCCATGTAAATATTATGCAAAAGTCACCATGCAAACGCCTGTTTAAGGTGACAGACACCACACATTTCATAATTATTTGTACGGACCCCCCCAAATTTAACATTAAATATTAGTTTTATGCCAGTGTGCCCCCCCCCCCCATTCAAAATGCTTCTGACACCCCTGGTGACAGATATAAGATTACAAGTTACGGACGTTATTAAGGCAGTTCAAGCCCTTTTGAATTATTATTTCTTATTACAGGAGCGGTATAACCACCTTGGAGCTGAACACTGATGTAGTCCAATGGATCTCAATCCTGTTCCTGGTGCCCCCCTCCCGCCAGAATGTTTTCATGCCAAGCCTACCTTAATCAGGCTTATATATGGTCTATATGGCTAATAATGAATGTGGCAGGTTGAAAGCAGAACATTCTGGTAGAGGGCGCCAGGAACAGGATTGAGAACCACTGGTATAATCACAAGGAGGGTAACCTTTTTTAAACTGACTTACTAATAACCAAATTTAAGACTAAAAATAATATGCCACCTTATAAAGCCAAAGTAACGTTTAAACAAAAGCTATAAAGTCTGCTGGTTACAGAAGTACATAAACGTCTGAAATCACCTTTTTTGATGTCTTCTTCACTTTGCCTTGCTCTGGGCTCGGAGTCCGGTCCAGCTGCACCGTCAGAGTCGCTGTCAGTCACACACTCTTCGCTGGCGCCATCGTCATCCTCACTCGTTTCTGCGGGATCTACCTCTTGGTCCTCACCGACGTCCCCATCCTCACTGCAACCTTCAGATCCACTAGGCTCGTCTCCGGCCTCCCCTCCCGTCTCTTGGCGTCCTTCTGGGTCCCGTCTTTCGATCAAAGCGAAGTTCCTCTCCAGCTCCTGCTCCGAGTCGCTGTCGCCGATGGCTCCCAGCCCCTTAACACCAGCGCCCGCTACGCGGTTAACTTTGCGCTTTTTAGAGGCTGCTTTCATTTTAGGGGCCATTGCTATCATTGAACACATAAAAAAACATAAATTATATGTCCTACTTATCCAGAAATTCATTACACTTTCAACACGAAATGCTCTGACCAAGGTACCAAACTAAGTAAGGAAACGTTAAACAGAAAAGAATAACGATAAAAACGCTCAGTCGCTTGTCACGAAGTCTACAAACTAGCATCAATGTACATATTTAATCTGAGCATTTAGGTGATTTTAAATACTTTTAAGATATCGAGCAGGACATCTGTGTCGGGCCGAAAGCGAAAGCTTCTTTGCCCGCCTGGTTTTTACTAAAACCCCCGGCTTCAGAAAGGCCTACGGTACATAATCCTCAAACCGTTCACGCTGGTTTAGATCTTTTCACTAGGCATATACAGTCCTTTACAAAAATCACAATTACATGAATTATACAAAATTCGAATAAAATTGCCTAACAAAATACATACAAGTCGGTTAATTTAGCTCAGTGAGTAACCACGCGAAAGCATGTCGGTGAAGCACCTGGAGAGCGCAGATCGGGAGTTTCTGCTGCGGCTGTTGGTGACCAATAGAGGGCGCTACTATAAAGGACAAAGTGAAAAACTGCAGGGATTCAGATGTTACTGTACTCCCTTAGGCTATACATATAATTTTCTTTAACATTGTTTTTGTAACATTACTGCCTTAAATATATAGACTTTATTTTCTTCAGCCTGCTAAATACAGTTCATGTGTTTAAATGCTCAAGTTTCCAAGCCCATTATATAAAGTAGGTTGTATCTTTTAATTAATCATTTTCGGTGCTATATCCTCCTGACTACCGGCAGTTAAAATTTGTCCTCTCTAGAGGACATTTGTAAACTTGAATATCTCCCATATCCTGCATGCTACCTAATTAACTCATGTTGTGCTTTAAAGAGGACATTCAGGACTTTTAAATGATACCAGATTTATAGGGGTGGGGCTTTGGGAACTTCCTCTTCCTCCTTTAAGAAAATGGCATCTATCACCACCAGGACATTTTATGGAAAAAAGAAAAGTAAGTGCTTAATCTTTTTTATTGATAAAATTTTATCTTGAAATGTTGTTGTTTTATTTTACATGAATCTCTAAAAAACACTTTAATTAATTTTCTAATGTAATGTATGAATGTTTTTCCATGATAAGTGAGCATTTATAAAATGTCCTCCTTAGTGGACAGTTGTAATTATTACCAAAATTTTGATTATCGGAAGCAGGAAGGGAGTCACTTTCAGAGGCAGAGAGAATTTTGCTGCAAATTGTTGGTGAAAACTCAGATATTGAGTTGTCAGATGAGGAAGATGAAAATGCAGAGTTTGAGGCAGAGTCAGAGGAGTCAGAAAGCACAGATGATGAAGTTCAGACAGGGCAAACAGAGACAGAAGAGTCGACGAGAGAACAACCATCCACATCTGGTCGTCGTCTCCTCTGGGCCAAGACTATAATGTACTGTACACCCTGTCATTGTATTCTAAATATATATCACTATTAACAGTACCTATAGGTTTTTACTTTTTACTTATAGTTAGTCACAAAAATTATATATTCTGATAAATCTAATAACGTTTTTAGAGACTAATTTTCTTTTTCTTCATGCTTTTTTAAGATTCAACCCCCAACTGGATGATCCTCCAATCATTCACAGCAGTGATGCCCCTACACACAATAACTGGACCCCAATGCAATATTTTGAACAGTACATTGATGACTCTGTGTACAAAGAAATGGCTATGTTCACAAACCAGCGTGAGGTCCTTGTGTCTGGAGCACCACTTAACACCACCCCTGAAGAGCTGAAGACATTTTTTGGAAGTTCTATCTACATGGCCTGTCTTGGTTATCCAAATATTCAGATGTATTGGGCCTCAAACACCAGAGTTCAAATAGTTGCAGAATCCATGACCAGAAATCAGTTCTACAAGCTAAGACAATCTATTAAGATCATCAATGACCTGGATGTTTCAGATGAGGAAAAAAGAAGAGACCTCTTGTGGAAGGTCAGGCCCCTTCTGAACAAAGTGAGGAAAGGATGATTGAGTCTTCCAAGAGCACAAAAACTGTCCATTGACGAGCAAATGATTCCATTTACTGGCCGCTGCCCAGTTCGCCAGTATGTTCTGGGCAAACCATACCCAACTGGATTGAAGGTGTTTGTCTTGGCCACACCAAATGGCGTGGTCTTAGATTTTGTTGTGTACCAAGGCAAGACCAACTTCCCAATCACAGCAGGACAGGGCATCGGAGCACAAGCTGTTCTTCATTTGACTGAGTCCATTCCCAGAGGAACCCACTTGTTCTTTGACCGGTACTTTACGACCGTCTACCTTTTGAACACCCTGGTGGAGAAGGGGCTGACAGGAACTGGAACTCTGATGAAGAACAGAATTCCAAAGGAGTGCAACATTATAGGGGACCAGGCCATCAAAAAGAAAGGAAGAGGGACATCTGAGATGGTGGTCAGACGAAGCCCTCCTGAACTTGCTATCATTAAGTGGTTTGACAATAGGCCAGTGGTCATGGCATCCTCTGCCTATGGCATTGAGCCTCAAGACACACGCAATAGATGGTCTAAGAAGGACAAAAGGTATGTTCAGGTGTGAAGACCACTGGCAGTGGTTGAGTACAACTGCAACATGGGTGGGGTAGACATGGCCGACCGAATGCTAAGTTTCTACAGGATGGCCACTCGCACTCGGAAGTGGACGGTGCGTGTAATTTTGCACTTTTTTGATTTGGCAATCACCAATGCATGGCTTCAGTACAGGAATGATTGCCAGCTTCAAGGGAAGAAACCACTGAAGTTTCTTGAATTCAAATTGCTCCTTGGTGAGCAACTGATTACCCATGGTCAAGCTGGAATCTCTAGTGAGAGTGAAGATGACTACACTCCCCCACGTCAAAAGTGGAAACCTCAGCCGAATGCATCCCTGAGACACTATGGAGCCATCCATCTTCCAGAAATGGTGGATGAAGCACATGCATCCAGGTGTCGCAGATCAGGATGTAACAGCAAAACATATGTGATGTGCACTAAGTGTAAGATCTTTCTCTGTGTTTCAAAGAAGGGGAATTGCTTCTTGAAATATCATACCCCATAAACAAGAAATACATAAAAGTTCCAAAATACTGTACAAACACCACACTAACAATGATGTGTTAGTTCCAGTCAAAGTTCATACTGATTCTTGATATTTTCTTTGTAATTTCCTAATTGTGTTCATGGTTCGTTTTTGGATATACTAACTTCCGTTGTCCAGTGTGGTGGACACAACATATTGTGAAAATAAAACTTAAAAAAAAAAAAAAACTTGTCAGTATGTTCATTGCCTTTCAAACAATTGGAAAAAGGAAAAATAAAAGTAATTTGAAAATATTTTTTTTCCTGGTAGTCAGGAGGATATTTAAACAGTGTAATGTGTATGTGTTTAACCACAGTTCGGTACTTATTTTTATTTTTATGTTCCCCCACTTATTTATTACCATCCCCTTGTGTTATACTTATTTGTTTGGCTGCTCTGGTGCCACAGCAGTTAGCACTGTTGCCTCACACCTCTGAGACCAGTGTTGCCGTGCCATTTCTTTAAATCAGTAGTAATTACCTGCTAATTATCATATGCGGGCATTTTGTGTGAGGCTCTGTAGCAGTCGTTGAAGGTCACGCTTGACGCTGATTGCACATCTCGTTTCCGGTTTACCTGTTCTTTTAGTATGGATTCTGTGTCGGAGGTGATTATCTTGTGGATCGCTGTCAGTAATAGTTGGTACTAGCAGGATATTCATAGGTTTGCCTCTTCCCTGAGTTAAGATGCCCCGAAATCAGGACTGCTAGATTGGGTTGACGTTTGACTGGGTGATTACAACTACAACTGCTGCTGCTTTGCCCGCTGTGGTACCGCTTTTCCCGCTGTGGTACCGCTTTGGCCGCTGTGGTGCCGCTTTTCCCGCTGTGGTACCGCTTTGCCTATACCACGGCTGTTTGCCTTCTTCCTCTGCTAGCAAGTGGACAGTGCTGACTCCGAAGCCTCAGCTCTGAATTATCATCGGCCCCTCTGGATGATGTGTGGATTGTAATTAATGGGTTTTTGTTATTTGTTATTTTTAATTATTCTATATTTTTCTTTTTGGTCATTGTTAATAAAATTGTCAGTGGATTGAGCCACATCCTTGCTCCTTACTATAATGAACCTGCATGCCTTTTGGGTTATTGGCACTGGTGTGGTAAATATTTCTTTGGGTGAAATTCCCAGGGTGGTGTGATCGGACCAATATCCTACAAGACAACAAACGCCTTCCACATAATCATCTCCATTATTGCCACTGTTGTATCTTTAGCGTTGGTGTTGCTAACACTTGATTGCCTGGTGTTAGTTGCACTTTATTTCCATTCTTTCTTAGCTGGTCTGACCGGTTTCCTCAGTGCAAGGTATTGCTGACAGATGTCCCGTTACCAAGTGCTTCTCTTCCCCACCCTTTCTGAGCGTTTGGGCTCCCTTCCCTTCTGTGCTTCTCCTGTTCCCGTGGCTGGTGTGTGTGTTTGGACCCCCTCTTAGTGTCAGTGTATGTACTGATTACCCTGCATCTGCATGTATATTTGCCTTTGCCATCACTCCAACAAGACAACCCGTATTGACCATTGCTTACATCACTGAGTCCAATTCCTGTCTGTTGCATTGACTCTCTGTTAGCTCTGCCTATCCTGTGACAGGATTCCTTGACACAGCAGAACTCTGTGGTACCCTTGTGCTCCTGGAGCGGTACCTGGAAGATATCTATTCTTCCAAAACCTCTGCCCTGCCTCAGTCCCCAACCCCCCTGCTTTCCACCGCTGCCACGTCTCCAGATCCGGCTCCATCCTATCATCACCCAATGCCAGACATTACAATGGATCTCCTGATCACTGTCATGGGTCTTTGATGCAATGCCAGCTATATCTTCAGCACAATTCTGTACAGTTTGCCTTTGACTCAGATCAACTTCCTCATCTCCCTTCTGACTGGGAGAGTAGATGACTGGGCCACCGTGCTCTTCTACATGTATAGCCTGGTGTTGCACTCCATCGATTGGTTCATTACCTACTTTGAGGACATGTTCAACCACTCACTGCTATGCAGGGAAGTTGGAAACCAGTTACTCCAACTCCAGCAGCTGCTACACCATTTGAATCCCAGGTCATGAAGCAGTACGTGGAAAAAACACTTTGTTCTGTGTTCATTTCACCCTTCACCTTGCCAGTGACATCTGGCTTCTTCTGTGTAGAAAAGAAGGATTTACATCCCAATATTGACTACTGGGTGTTGAACAAAGTTACTATTAAGATCAGCTTTCTCCTGCCGCTGATTCCCACTGCACTGGAGCAGACATGGTCAGCACAGTACTTCTCCAAGCTGGACTTGCGGACTTACAACCTAATCTAAATTCGTTAGGAGCACAAGTGGAAGACAGCTTTTATCACTACCCACGGTCACTATGAATATTTGGTGATCCCTTTCGGGCTCTCTAATTACCTCTCTGTATTCCAGTCATTTATGAACTCAGTCTTTTGAGACCTCATTGACCGGTGCCTTATCATATATATACAGACCTGGACAAATTTGTCGGTACACTTACAGCTCATTGAACAAGTGCTTTTTGCCTCCTGAAAAGTGATTAAATTAAAAGCAGCTGTGCATACCTGCATGCCTTTGATATGTCATCAAGTAAAGCAAAGCGAGTGATTATTGCTTTATTCTAAAATATACCTGCATTGATATGTTGGTAGCCCTATATAATAAATAATTGGATTATAGTGATTTTTAAAAATTAATTGTTTTTTTTAGTAGTACCACACACGTATTCATTCTCGTAATTAGTAATTCAGCCTTAAGACAGTACTGTGGGTTTCTACT